GTAAAAATATAGTAGAAAGATAGAGAAGGTGTTCCGTATGCCTTATCAAGATGTCGGCACAGTAATGTAGCTATTCGATGCTAGTGAGTTTGCTGGAATATTTTCTCACATGGGGCGCTGCGTGTCTAACATCATCTCATATTCGTCATGTAGCATTCCCGAAAAGTCGTTAGTGTCGAGACGTTCATTAAAAGAGAGTTATATTTTGATAAAATACAGAGGTTTGTTGATTGGTGTGTGTCTGGGTGTGTTGCGCGGCGAATTACCTAATATTTAAAAGCATTGATCACTTTCCACAATTTTTTAAAAAGCAAAACAGGAGTTTGCGTTGTTGGTGGAAGGCGGGCAAAGTTTGTAAAGTTGATGCATTATTTTTATTTAGCGTTGTTCCTTGCACAGAACAGTCTGTTGCAGGTGAACGGCGAAGATACGAACGTGAGGATGAACGGCAGCGTGGACGTAGTAAAGAACGGGGCTCCCGTCGTCGACGACATGACTCTTCCGATTTAGATGAAAGAAGAAAGCGAAAAAAATCACGTCAACGTTCAGCTGATCATAAGGATCGTGAGCGAAAGCATGAAAGAGAACACAGTACAAGTGGGACAAGAAGGAAACATTCCAGCGAATCTTCGAGCTTCTCGCAAACGCGCGAATCTAAAAGTGTTTCATCTCGAAAGCAGTCAAATTCTCCTAGATCCGCAAAACGTCATTCTTCACCAGCAGCTAAAAGATCAAGAAGCCGCACCTCTTCAGTGCAAAAAAGCAAACTTGTGAAGCACTTGAAAAGGTCGCGTTCAAGGAGTACAGCAGAAGATCGGGTATCGGAGGATGAGGGAAGAAGTCGAAAGCGGCGACGACACGACACGTCAAGTTCGGAGGATGACGCAGAGTTGAGTGGCAGTCGATCGCAGCATTCCGACGGGAGCAGTCGTAGTAGTACAACAAGCAGTAGCGAATCTGTAAGACAAGAACGTAAGAATTCACTGTCTTCTGAAGCAAGCCATCGGCGTAGTGTCTCACAATTGCGTGAGCCGATCGATGAAAGCGATTAAGAAGGTAAGATTTTGGTAGTTTTTTTTTCTAATTTTGGACTTTTTTTAATTCAGAAGAGACTGGTTTTCGCATTGTGAGATGTAAAAGTACTGCTACTGAGGTCTTTGTGCAGAATTTTACAATCAAAGATAAACATTAAAGCTTATTTTGTTCCAGTTTCCGGCACAAGAGTGCAGAAGAGAAATATGGTTCATGAAAGCAGCATGAAGCAACTTTTGTCATTTCATTTTCAGTGTAAACATGTTCTGTTGGTGTAGCACTTTAGAGTTCTATGTATGAATATATGTTCAGTGGTGATGCAGCAAGAATGTCTGTGTTGTAAGTCATTTATTTTTAAGCAATTTTTAGCGAAAATTCCTATTTTGAATTGGTTATTTGTCAAGTTTGTTTCATTTTATGATTATTAGGATCGCTGAGAATACCATTTGCTGTTTTGGGGGAAGACCCCCAGTTTTCAGTATGCCAGTCAAAATCAAAACAAATCAAAATTTTGTTTTTCAGTGATGTCTATGATTTTTTGATTTTGTGAAGAATCTATTGCATTAGTTTCTTATGTGTATTTTGCATGTGCAGATTAAAGCCTGTTCTAGCAGAACTGGGGAGCTAAAATTTCGGGACTCTGCTGCTGCTGAAAAAGTGGATCAATTTTTAATATTTTCTCGCATTCTTTTTATGGTGGGGGAATGGAAGAATAACAATTCTTTGTTAACAAAAGTTAAAGTCTAGTTTAGGAAGAAGGAAATTTTGTTTGTTCTGACCTGTAGCTTTAAACTTGAACAGGGCTAGTTATCACAAATTGAGGGTGGAGCATGCATCTCTTCCCAGTTTTGCCTGTTTCGTAACCTCTCTGCATTGTTCGGCATGTTATGCAGTGGATAAATGCAACAGGAAATGTAAAAACATTCAGTGTCAAAAATGCATGATCAGGCTGGTGTGCGCAATTCTTTATTTACTGGAAGATAGTAGATTTTTTGTTGGGAATTCTTGTTTCTTTTTTGCTTATGTTTCTGGTTTTTTGTTGTCATAACTCCCCCTTCAGCAAGCCATTTCTGAGCGATCTTAGTGGAAAAGGAAGTTATATGATTGGAATTGAGGGGCAACTGAATTTAATGCACTCATGACGAGTATTGCACTCTTTCTGTATTCCATTTTGAAAATATCACCCCGGCACTGTTGGTGAATTTATGCATAATTTTCCTAATGTGACAGTTGGCTTGCGTCCTCTTTATTCCTTATTTCAAAACATTAGTCTTTCGCCTAAACTAGCTTTTTTGCGTGATAGAAAATTTGGGGGAATCAGCGAGAAACGGGGGAGTTTGGAGGTTATTGTAGTGTCAAAGGCTGCACTTGCCGGGCCATTGTTTTCCAACAAATGTGGTAAGTAGATATTGCTGTTCTCTTCGGAATGTCAGTTTTGTAA